GCAAGCATTATATCTGAGATAACAGGAATCGCAAATGTAAGTACAGAGTCTTGTTGCCTAGGAACACCAACAACTACTATACTAATTTTAACATTTTGTTATCTAAACTGTCTTTTTGAATGCTAATTATGGCTTTTTTTGTGAAGCACTTTCCCATGTTCATAATTTATACTGTTTCACAAGCATACAGTAACTAACAAAGACCTTTGTTAAGGTACAGTACTGGCATTAGACTTTAAATAATTCTATGTGCTCTTGCTTGTCAAATCAAAAAGCATTACCATACAACATTCACTTGAACAGTATATGACTAAAAGGCCTCTTTCCTCTGAAAGGGAACAGGACGAAATCTGACTGGTAATTGTAGACATTTTTACCAGTTCAAGTAACTATTATGTCCTTACAATTTCTTTCTCCATCAAACATTATGACTGACATCCTCTTCAATGAAGACATTTTAAGAATACAGAACTGATCTATGAAACCATTGGAATAAACACTGTGCACAGGACTTGTGAGAAAATAAAAGCAACTGATCCTTAAGAACAGTACATTAAAACTTCCCGGTAATTTAATACCTACGTGAAATCCTAATAATATTTCAAATCTGACAGTATTTATTTGTATATTATTACTTTTAGAATGATAAGCGTTTTTTTTACAATAGGTGTTTGATGTCTGATTTAAAATAATGAAATACAGTAAACCCTCAGTTCAATGGGAGAAAATACATGTCCATTTGTTCTCAAATGTCCATTAATAGAATGGCATTTTTCTATCCCCAAAACACACCATAATATAATATATATAAAATATATTGACACTATATATAAAGTATGCTTTCTGGATCTCTGACTTATTATTTCATAATTACAAACAACAGAGTCAATAAAAATTGCTCCCGTAATTTTTTCATCATAAATATACAAGCTCTTTATTTCATGAGTCGGAAATATACTGTATAAAACTTGCTAAAGCATACACAACCCAAGTAAATACTCATCGTAACAACTGGCCTTCCCCTATAGGGCATCATTGATATTCCTGAATTTTTAAACCAATACAGAATTTATTTTTAACTTTGTCATATGTGCTTTTCCTTGTAACGGTGGGGAAAGTCTGATATTTCTGATTTCACCGACAAAATTCCCCTTTAGCAGATTCTGTCCATGAAGTCCAAAGTCCAGTAAAGCGAAGTCCATTAAACCAAGGGTTTGCTGTAACTGTCTGTTTTGTATTGGAAGTAAATATTTTCAAAAAGGGCCAAAAGCTGGAGACTTTTCAGAGAGAAAGCTCGACGTTAGCATGACTCTAAAGTTTAAAGTACAGACCAGACTGAGAAGGACATGCCATTTTGATCCATAAAGGTGTTTTCTAAACATTAGCTTTTTAGCTAAATATCACAATGAACAAAACATACTTTTTATTTAGGAACAAGTAATGGGTTTATTCCATGCTGAAAAGAGAAGAAAGAAAACACAACGTTTCAGCTGTGGAGACAAAACGTTGTATTGTCTTTCTTCTTCCACCTGAAATGCTTTTTATTTATTATACATTACAACTGGAGTCGCATAATGTAGCATCCTTGGAAGATTCTTTAAATATTTATTGAATCTGTATGGCCTATAAGAAGAATACTGTAAGTCCACTTCCCTCAATTCATTTCATCCATTTTCTAAAACCATTTTATTGTTAGTGGACAGTGATAAACCTGGAGCCCAACCCAGCAGGAACGGGCCAGGATTGCACCCTGGAAATTACACCAGTCCATCGCAGGGTGCACATAGAGTCACACATGCTTATAGGGAGCAATTTAGAGATGGCAGGTAACCTAGTTCAAAAATAGAATACAAAAAAACCAAGCAATTTAGCCAAGAGTGTGTTATGTAAGAATCTCTATGTGGCAGATTTGTCACTTACTCCTGTACCAGTTGACTACCTTAGGAAGATTTAGAATTAACTCTTACATACTGTAGTTACCTCATTACACATTGCATAAAGCTGTCTAATTTATACCACATGTGCCAAAATATAATTTAACCTACAGATCTCACAAAATTATCTCAATTTCCAGGGAACCTCTGACAAGATAACACACCCCAGATTAATTTTTAACTAAAACCAGGAGGAATTAAAGACATTACAGTTTTGTAGAGGAATACACACAAACTGGGAGGGCAGGGACTTTCAGTGCTGTACCTCCACAGATTGCTATTTCTAATTCACATAAATGGTAGACATTTGAAAATGTGTCACATAAGAAATAAACAGGAAAAGGAGGGAGAGAATCTGCATTTGGCAGCACCAAAAGCAATAATGCCAAACCCTTATAATTTCTTTTTTATCGCGGCACTCCAAAACATAGTAAGCCCTCACAGAGCTACAAGAAATAGAAAGCAATCCGAAATTCCTGCAATAAAATTGATAGACTGAAAAAAAGAAAAGATTTGAAATCTTTATCAGCAAAGTAATCTCTTGGGAGTTTTGAAAATAATAAGGCCAAGGCTAGAGCTGAAACATCCAGAGGAAACTGGTTGGGTCAAAAAGATTCAGACTTTTTCATGATATACTCTTCCTTACGCTCTATAATGTGACCATACAGGACAATATCCTTTAGGAAGCAGCTTTTTCAAATTGCTACCTAAATAAGACAATTTCAATTAGATGAATAAGAAGAACCAAATGGTGACCAATGCCTTCCAACACAGAGTGCTTTTCAAGGTGAGAAGCCTCTCAGTATACAATGAGTCAGAAACTATAAAAAAACAGATGGTTTCTGGAGAATGTATTAATTTATAGAATGCAGGTGTTTGGGACATCTTTTCATGTCTTCAGATGTGTCTTTTGTCTTCTCGTCTATGTTTTAAAACAAAAAAAATCAATATTTGAAAGCTTTTATTCAAATGCACATTAGTCTTAAAACAAAGGCATTTTGGAAATTCTGAAAAAAAAAGCTTCAAAGACTTACATCAAATAGGCACTTTCTTTTGTATAGTTGTCCATAAACATTGCTTGCTTGTCTAGATTTTGTTATTCTATTATTTTCTATGCAAGGAAATTTTACTTGGGCACATTTTTGTATAATTCACTTAAAGGTTCAAACTTTCTTGGTTTCTGATCTCTCATATGTCATGACTAAATAGAAATCATGTATTAAGAACAAAACCACATTTTAAAAATGCATCTTCACATTACAATTAAAAAGTAGGTACAGTAGTGTAGGTTTTATTTTTATGTAAAATGTCTTCTTCTGTTGTTCTCATTTGTGAGCTGAATTCAGAGAGTGTTGATAGGTGTTATGATAAATTATAATTTTAAATGGTAGGATTATTTCATTATTTCATTATAAGATTATTACAACATTGATTGTTTGGGCCAAGTTTGTCTTTTCATGAGATCAGCATCTAATTTAATTATCATTGTCCCTGTCCAATGATTGTTTGGGGAAGGTTAATTCCACCATAATGAACCATTATAAAGAAACCATAAGCAGTCAGAGTAGCATTTAAACCTGTTTTATACACTGCTAATAAACTGTAGCTGTAATGTTCAAAACTCAGGAAGGAGGATGGAGGAGGTCACTTTGCAAACAGCAAGAAATAAAAGCTGAAGACAAGGTTTTCTGCTGTTTACTTCCAAGGCTTCATTACGTTTGGTGCATCTGTCTTAGACTTGTCACTTGTGCCCAAGACAGTGACTTTAGCCCTGGGTCCAACCACATGTTGTACAGGGCTGATTTATCTCTGATCCAGTAATTGGTGGTATTAATTCTGCTGTAGGAGATTAAGAGGGGGGACAACAGACTGTTCTTTCAGTATAATGGCCCTGTTATAGTGGTAATAATCCCCTGTGTTGTCAAGATTGTGTAATTAGCCCACGTCTGGAGGCCTTATGGCATAACAGATGTCATTCGGACACCTTTCATGAAATATACCTGTCAGGAGCCACTCAAGGTTCATCTTTTTATACACCACCTGTGATGTCTCAGCCCTCGACTTAATCGTTCAATAACTCGCTTTTATCTCACTGTGAACCTGGAATATGTACCAACTGGGCATTTATATTACTGCTTTGTATGGACACCGCCTGTTATTGTAACTGTTACTGTTTCATTGTGACTGCATGGCAGTTTTGTTGTTTTTCCAGTTTGTACCAGCCTTCTTGTTTCATTTTATCTTTTCCTTTTGTATCAGTGTGATTCTTCTTCAGAAGCACAGTAACTCTTGTATATATGTATAATGTAAGTTGTCCTGGAAAGCAAATAATAATATCTGAGAAGGCAGTAAATAGACATGGTGCTGGTGATTTCTACAATGTATCTTCCTTTTCTACTACATACGGAACATACAACAATAATCTCTAAATGACTGAAACGGGATAACAAGAAATCATCAGTCTTCAAATCACTATAATATATACTTCAGGGTTTGGGGGTTGGTAATGTGAACATCTCATGCTTGTGTCTCTATTATTCAATTTATATTATAGTGTAGAAATGATACTGACTCAATATTGCTTTTTATCAGGAAAGTGCTGCTAAAGAAAATAAGGAACAATGCCTTTCAATAGGCCATTCGTGGCTCAATTGCTGGAATGAAATGTCTACTACTATAAAAGAACATGAAATTCTAAAGGGAAAATCTCTGGCTTTAGAAAATGTTGTGACTCACGATACAATATAAGTATAAAAATAAACCTTAAATAGTGCAGTGCCTGTAAGTGGAAAAGTAAAATGACAAAGACAGACAAAAGACTCAAGTAAAGATTCCTTAAACAACAGCTGACCCAACAGTTAAACAACAGTTGACCCAATTGTAATTTTAGTATTTTCCATTCAACATCACTGAGCCGTGGTATCTCAGCAGCAGGAACAGAGAAGGATTGGGATTCAGAAAATACAATTCCCACCAACAACATATTGCAGAGCAGTGAAACAACTATACAGTACTCACTGAAATGTAAAAGAGAAACCTAAAAGATACAAAGAGAACTTGACATACCTCTACGACTGTGACTTTGGCTGCCTTGCACATGGGCTGGTTAAAGTTTCTTGCTGTTTTCCTGAATGCAATTAAATAAATGGAAAACAAACAAGATCAGAAAAGTAATTTGGTGAGCATGGGAGTTTGAAGAATGAAAAACCAAGGAGCAAATCTACATCAATGCTCCTTCCTTGAAGTTATTTTTTTTTTTTTAGTTGAGATAAATACTGAACTCTTGTGGCAAAACTGAAGCATTACATTAATAAATACAATAACTGAAACATTAATGTAAATACAAAAATAAAAAATACAAAAAAGTATATAATAATAACAACAGTAATAATTATTACTATTATTATTAATATCTCATTTTTAATTATAATATATATTTAATAATAATGCACTCCTCTTTAATTACTTTGCAAACATACTTAAGCTTGATGTTTGTTTCTGTGGAATATACCTGGAATCCTAGCTTAATGTTGCCAAAAACTGTCATATATGGGATAGTAGAGAGGGATATCTTCAGTTTTTAAGCTACTCACATTAAAGAGGTACTATGACACTTTAATAACAAGATGTTTGAATAAAGCTGCATATATTCTGGTTAGAAGATTAATTTACTTGTCTTCTACCTCAGGTACATCTACAGCTATGTGACAATGGTCTACAACTGAAACATTTTCTGAAAGACCATTATAAATGCTGAGAAACGTCAAAGACATTGTATAATATTCAATGTAGGCTATTGCATTGTGGTGAACTGAATTGAGTTATGTTAACTTAAAGAAGATGTACATGCGGTAGATGGTAAACACAAGTGTACTGTATTTCCAGCTTTCTGATGACATACAGTAGCTGGAGATTTTATAATCTTGTACAGGAAAAAAAATGAATACACACACTTATTATCACACTACTTTCCTCCTTTTGTACAGCTGGAATGTAAATGCTTGCATAATCCTGTGTTTCAGAATGCTATAAAAATGTTGAATTTGTCACCTGAAAAAAGCAAAGTGGCACTCAAAAACTACAGTCTGTAAAGGTCTTAACAGCACTTTTTATATGCAAATGTGCTTAAACAAGATTCTGTTTGCTGCCTGGGGTTATAATCATGGTTAAGTGTGGCAGCCAAATGTTATACAAGAGAGAGGAGGAAATTATAGACATCTTCAGTTTTTAACTCCTTGTCTACTCAACTGGGTTGCTTAGATACTGTATGTTCATCATAGGGCATCTTTATGCTGTATGGGAAAATACAAAGTCCTTGTTTACCTAGCTTTTTCTCAGAGGTGTGTGATGAAGGAATCTATAGTTATTCTATTTAAATTATATTCCCATGAGCAATAGTGAAAGGTTTAAACCCCTTAATTAAAAAATATTAGTTTATATTCTTACCATTATACTAAGGAGACTAACCCTCCTCAAAACTCATTAATGCAAAGTAGTTGATTTTATTTATTGCACAACTTACTTTCTACAATAAGCAAGTAATTCATGTTTTTTTTTATCCTAACTTTTGTTCCTTATTTGATTTAACAGTGGTGTCTTTTAAGTTACAATACAGACAGATAACAAATATTTACTGCAAGACAGTAAAATATCAACAAGGACAACTTTTAGACAACTTTTTTTTCTCTTACATTCCAAAAGCAGAAAACTATTAAATCAGAAGAGTTATTCTTTATGTGTGTAGCAAACACAATCAGAGCTTTCAGCCCATTGTAAGGCATGAAAAAATAAGAACAATCTAAATATCAAATCTAGCAATCACAAATTCTGATGGATTTCAGGATGGTCACCTGAACATCAGACAGGATTCCTACCTGAACACTATGTTTCCAGCTCGGTCTGCTTTCCAGGCCTTAACTAGTGCAAAATCCCCAGTGATTGCCTTCTCCATCACGTAGTGCCTTCCATTGAACTCACGAACCTGCAGCCAGAAATGATTTTCCAGTATTAATTAGGCATTAGGACAGAAGTCCTCAATCCTGAGTCTGGAGGGCCAGTGTGTCAATGTTTTCAGTGTGCAGGTGTTCAATGTTTCTTTAAAGAAGTGGGACCTGAATAACTGAAGAGGTCCAGTTCAGCCAATATCAAGCTGATTCAGTTAGAGAGTAGAGGAGTTTATCGCCATACAGTATGTACATGTACATTTCTTAGATATTTGTTTCTCTCTCAAGACATACACAGTACAGCAGATGACAGAGAGCCCTCTAGCTGCAGAGGGCATGACAATGACGTGCTTGACTGGTGTACTGAGTGTCACCTATTACACTACTCCAGCCTGTGTGCTGTCATGCAGGTAGTGTTCTGAAAGAATATCACTGTTCTGTTAATTTAGTCTCCAGATAATTGAAAGAAGGTAGCGTAGATAACAACACCCTTTCTTTTGCCATCCTACAATTCACTTGTAATTGCTGAAGACGGTCTCCCTCCTGCTGCAATTACAAGAGCCATGGACCGAAGGCAGTATATCGCAGTTTAAAATACTGTTGGTAAAATGGAACAATTTTAAGAGATGCAGTTGCTGAGGAATCTCAGAGACAAACTTCTGCCCGTTTTTGTAATTTCTTGCAAATAATACCCAATATTATCTGTTTTTCATTGAGGGTTGTAGCTGCAAAGACAAATTATTTGTGCAAAATATAGCCTAGAATTTCATAAATATTATTACAACCTAGTAGGTCACTCGACACTACCGGCCCATTTCAGACAGGTTTCCAGCTCATAAAACAGGTGCAGTGCTTCAGAACAGCTTCTTAAGGGCCTCGGTGGGATTCATAGTTGCTTTCTACATAATTGCCACTAGGTGGAGCTATATAACAGACATCCTTAGCATATAACAGCGAGTTTAAATTCTGTCTCCTCATTCTACCCCCGTGAGTCCTTAGCAGTGCTACTGTATGGTGGAAAAAAGAAAATGAGAGGAAAAAACAGAGAAACGAGGGAGAAGCCACACCTGTCAAGAAAAGATGGCTTAATGATGGGTCGAAAATATCTGGCAGGTGTAAAAAAATACAAGAGACTGTTTTCATATTTAGCACACCATCTGTAGGGAAGGTTTCTTCAATATGACCGTGTGAAGTACATGGCTGGCAACAGAATTTGAACTACAATCACGGGCACCTGGCACACTACACACAAACCAAACAAGCAGGAAACCCGCTCTACTGGAAGAACTGTCCAGTGTCAAGGGGGATTGGTGCTCTCTAAACCACGAAGGAAGGGTGTGATGTCCCTGTAACACACTCACACACTCTAAATTCTGCAGAAGCTGCCATCCCTTGACCCCAGCCAGAGCACCATGGTAGGACGCGCAATCACAGTGCACCAGAAGACAAGTTCCAAACTTCCAAAGCAAGAGCCGGCACTGTCAATTGTGAGTTCTGTCACAATTACCTTCTTACTAGAAGATTAGGGAAAACAAACCTCATGTGTGGAACTCTATGACATGCCTTTTTGTTTATGTGGAGAAACACTGTATACGGGCCTTTGACTAGAATGTGTCTGTTTTAGTTTTTATAGTATTATCTAATTCAACTACACTTTGACTTTTTTGCACCTAAGGAAGGCTCCGCAGTCGAAACGTTGTGTCACTTGGTTTTTTCAGCATGGAATAAGCCTTTACTTACTCCTTTGCAGCCTAAGCATACTGACGCAGCTACCTACTTGACTTATTTATATATTTCTTAATCAATAAAATCAAGCTTAACAACATCAGAAGGATACTGGAAAATAAAGCCCTGGACATAATGTATACAGCTGATGTGTGCATAATGATACACTTTAATTAATTAATTTTATTTGCTGTGTACAAAATACCGCAATATAACTTCGAGGTTAATAAGGAAATGTACTATCCGTGCATGGCAAAAAATGTTAATTAGGGGCTTCATATTTTTTGGGGTCCCAATATATGTGCTAGTAGTCACTGAGTCCTGCCAAAATAATGTAACATTTTCACTTTGCTGGCATTTAATGCTGCCAGTTACCTGACAGCAAATAAACTTGCTTAGAGTCCATAACTCAAAAAAGTACTAAACTAATTTTCACAAAACTAGTACAGAGAATTCTCTATCACACAAATTGTGAGGGACACCACCTACTGCAAATGGCCACAGTAATGTAGTGTTGTAAGAAAAAACTCACCTCTCTTTTCTCACTAGCAATGGCTATGGTGCCGTCCTTGTTATACTTAATGGGAGAGCCTCCTTCTTGGATGAGGGTGCCGTAGCCTGTGGCAGTGAAGAAGGCTGGCACCCCTGCCCCGCCAGCACGAATCCGCTCTGCCAGCGTGCCCTGCAACAGTGTGAGCCAAACACAGTGAGGAAAGACACAGGAGTGGGCTTCTCAGCCCATTTCTCCTTGTGGTGTGTCTTCACACACAAGGCATGAGAAACAAATACTATATAAAAATTCATTAGCCGCTATAAAAGTTTGATAAAGGTTTCATGATGGCTCTCTGAATTTTTTGAAAACAAAATGAGCGGACTTGATAGAATTCGACTTAAGACAGTTTGTTGGAAACATCAAGACATGAGCACTAAAGGAAAACGATGGACAAAACAAACAAGGAGTATCTTCAGCAGCTCTTGTCTCATAGGACTAAATACGCATTTCAACTCTCTCCAAAACTGGAAGCAAAGCCAGTGTGTCCTACCTGAGGTGTGAGCTCCACCTCCAATTCTCCAGACAGGTACTGCCGTTCAAATTCTACGTTCTCTCCCACATAGGACGAAATCATGCGCTTTATCTGCTTGGTCTGAAGGAGCAATCCAAGCCCAAAGTTATCAACCCTGCATGGAAATAATCAGAAAAGACATGTTTGCTGTGCAAGGCTGTCCTTGTGCTGACTCAGGCATGCTCACAGCTCCTGTGAAAGGTCAACACCTCCAGCAAGAACAGGTACAGAAGCCTGCTCCATGTGTAATATCCTATCAAGGCACCAGAGATATTAAGAATTCACTGGAAGCACAGTCACAGTAAAGGATTTTGTGCTGCATTAGAAAAACCCACGATTACTTATCCTCACTTTTTGCAAAGATGCAAGTTGGGAGTGGAAATATGTGTAAATTAACACATTTAATACCAAAACCAAAAACATTCACCCATTCATTATCTAACAGATACTTCCAATTCTTGAACGTAAAGAAAACGAAAGAGCTAATAGTGGACTTTCAGAGACACAGGCCACACACTCACAGCCCACTCAGTATTGATGGAACGGAAGTGGAAACAGTCACCAGCTTTAGGTTTTTGGGAATTCACATCTCTAAAGATCTAACCTGGACTGTGAACACTGACTCTATCATGAAGAAGGCTCAGCAGCGCCTTAATTTCTTGAGGTGCCTCAAGCAATGGGGGATGCCAATACATGTGTTGGTGAACTTCTACCGCTGCACCATCGAGAGCATCCTCACCAACGGGATCACCGTGTGGTATGGCAACAACTCTTCGC